TGTAGAGATGGCTAAAGCAAATGGAAGAAATGAGAAGGTAAAAGAGATGGACAGAAAATGTCCAAGGTCAGCTCAAGAAAACAAAGTCATATATTATTTTTAAAAAATGTGCAAAGACCTAGAGTTACAAAACCAAAAGGGAAGAACAGGCTCCTCATTCCTCAAGCTGAGGACACTACAGAAAACATTCAAACAGCAGCTTGCAATATTGAAGGATTCTGTAGGCAAAATATAGAATGATGCAGAAGGCATCAAAAGAAGATATAAAGAATGCACAAAGTCACTGTACCAAAAAAAGTGTTCATAACATATGTTCAAGAATCAGTGATACCTTAAGAAGAAGTTCTCGGTGCACTGAAGGCATTGGCAAAGAACAAGGCACCAGGAATTGATGGAATACAAGTTGAAATCTTTCAACAAACTGATGCAGCACTGGAGGCACTCACTCATTTATGCCAAGAAATTTGCAAGACAACTACCTAGCCAACTGATTGGACAAGATCCATATTTATGTCCATTCCAAAAAGAGGTGACCCAAGAGAATGCAGAAATCATTGGAAAATATCATTAATATTGCAAGCAAGTAAAATTTTGCTAAAGATAATACAAAAATGGCTGCAACACACATTAACAGAGAACTTCCAGAGGTTCGAGCCAGATTCAGTAGAGGAGGTAGAATGAGGGCTATCACTGTTGACGTCAGATGCATCTTGGATAAAAGCGTAGAATACCAGAAAGGTGCTTACTTGTGCTTTATTGACTATGCCAAGCCTTTCGACTGTGTGGATCATGACAAGCTACCAACAACACTGTGGAGAATGAATATTCTGGAACACTTAATTGTGATCATGAAAAACCTGTACATAGACCAAGAGGGAGTTGTTCAAATAGTTTAAAATCAGTAAAAGGTGTGTGACAGGGCTGTATTTTTTCACTATACTTATTCAATCTACATGCTGAGTAAATAATCTGAGAAGCTGGGTTATATGAAAAAAAATGTGGCATCAGGATTGGAGGAAGACTCACTAACAACCTGTGATATGTAGATTATACAGTCTTGCTTGCTGAAAGTGAAGAGTACTTAAAATATTTGCAACCAACAATGTACTGAAAGCACTCAATAGTCCATGCCAAGAAATTTAGAAGACAGCTACATGGTCAATCAACTTAAAGAGATGTAAATTCATGCTCTTTCCAAAGTAAGACGATCCAAACAGTTGTGGAAAGTATAATATCACTGCAGGTTAATGCGCTGGACTGCAAAGTTGTGTGAACAACACTTAACAACAACACACCAACCTCTTCTGAAATCAGGCTTGAATTTCTGACAGGCCCTTGTCTATGTACTACTGCAATTGTTTTTGGATTCTCTTCAATGAAATTTTACTTGAATGTGATATTGTTGTTGTTGTTGTTAAATGTCATCAAGTTGGTTCTGACCCACAGGGGCCCTGCCAAAGGGTTTCTGAGGAGTGGCTGGTGAGCTTGAACCACCAACCTTGAGGTTCAAACCAACTTTGCAGTTCAGCCTATTAACCTGCAGCACTACACCAAGACGCCAAAGAGAACGTGCAACAAGGGCTATCACTGCTGATGTTAAGCAGATCTTGGCTGAAAGCACAGAATACCATAAAGATGTTTAATTCTACTTTAGTGACTATGCAATAAATTATATGGATCAGAAAAAATTATGGATAACATTGCTAAGAATGGGCATCCAAGAACACTTAATTGTGCTTATATGGAACCTATACGCAGACCAAGAGGCAATCAAACACAATAAGGAGATATACTGCATGGTTTACAATCAGGAAAGATGTGTGTCAGTATTATATCCTTTCACCATACTTATTCAATCTGTAAACTGAGCAAAAAAGTCCAAAAAGTTGGATTATCTGAAGAAAAACCAGGTATCAGGATTGGAGGACACACCTTGCTTGCTGAAAGTGAAGAAGGCTTGAAGCCTTTCCTGAGGAAGATAAAGAATACAGTCTTCCTCCCGGGTTACTTCTCAACATAAAGAAAACAAACAGCTTCACAATAGGACGAATATGCAACATCATGATAACACAGCTTCCAGCATCAATGTAACACACAAGCTACTACAGTACGACAAACTAACAAATGTGTTGTTGTTGTTAAGTGCCGTCGAGTCAGTTCCAACCCATAGGAAACCTGTATAGGGTTTCCAAGGAGCAACTGGTGAGCTTGAACCTCCAACTCTGTGGTTCAAACAACTTTGCAGACCAGCTCATTAACCCACAAGGCACCACACTAGGACTCCAACAAATGTGTAGTGAATTTAATATTTAGAGTGTTTATTAGTTAAAATAATCTGCCATATTTTTTTAAAGATACAAATTTAAAATGTGTAATTATCTATGACCTTAATTTGAAATTTTTGTCTAAAAATGCTAATAAAAAAACAATGAATATTTCAACTTATAAATTGTTACAATATAGTAAATGATGCTGACTAATGCAAAGACATGTCAACGTAAATTGTATAAGCCAACATTAATAAAAGGACCTTTGGTAACCTGGAAAATAATTATTAAAACTCATTGTTTTAAAAAAACAACTACAAATGCATAAACAGAAGATAAATAAACTATATAACTGTGACCTTCTAAAAATTAAATACTTATGCTCATCAAAACACTCTACCAAAAGAGTAAAAAGAATATACAGACTAGGAAAAACTTTTTTTTTGACAGTTACATATCTGACTAAGGATTTATTAATCTCTAAAATATATAGAGAAAACTTCAACAAAAAAAACACAATTCAATCCAAAAAATGAACAAAGGACAGGAACAGGCAATTCAGCAAAGAAGCCCTTCAACAACTAACAAAATACAAGAGCATTCACCATTAGAGACAGAAATCAGAACCACTATATACCCCCCCACTCCTACAAAAATGGCACTGATCAAAAACCAGAAAACAATGAATGCTAGCAAAGTTGTGAGGATACAGGAACTCTAAATTTCACTATTGTAATATAAAATTTATACGGTTGTACAAGTAAATTTGAAGGCTTGCCAACTATTTACTAAAGTATTATGTCCACACAAGGACTTGTATTCAAATATTCATAACAGGTTAAAACTGGAACCCAAACATCTATCACTTCATAAATGGAAACATAAATTATGCTATACTCACAAAACAGAATACTAGTCTGCAACAGACACAACACCAATCAACTACAGACAGTTCCTCAGAGCGAGCAGTAAGTATATAAGCTCCATAAAGAGAGGTAAAAGTCATCTGGCAAGCAAGTGATAAGGTAACTCACAAAAAAAAAAAATCACAAAAGTTTTAAATTTCAATACATTTAAACAATAGCTTTCTGAAGTTTTCCTGTGATTAACTCAACTGATAATAACAAAAACTAAAGAAAAAGAATGCAGAAGGTAAGATCAACAGCCACTGTTAAAATAAGACAGAATTAACTTTGAGGAAATTAGGTACTTTTGAGTAAGAAAATAGTGTGTTCTCATACGTTAGAAGTTGACCACAAATTCAGTACCATGAGCTAGATAGATATTGGTTAATCCTCAATATATCTTCATATGTAGTATAAAACTATCTAAACATAGATTATATGAAATATGCCTTTAAATTTCAGCAGACAATGATAATAAATACTGCATATGGTTTATGTGCTTATAACATTGGGCATATTTAAGAAATCCAGAGTAATCAAAACTCAAATTGGTAACTACTGAGTCCAGATCTGGGATAGTTCCTTGGTCAAGCATCAACCACCATGACATTCAATCCTACTATTAACAACAACAACAACAACCAAAAAAAAACAGGTAATTTGCTAATATGCTAATTTCCCATAAACATTCATAAAAGACAACCAGCTGCCAATATAGTTACAACCCAAAACATTAGTATAAAGACATTAAGTTTTCACCTGCAGTATCAAAAAGTCCGAGAGTATATGGCTCTCCACCAATCATAACTGTGACTGCATAGTTGTCAAAAACCTGAAAAACACAAAAATACAACATTGTTAGTATACAAGGGGATGGTCAGAATGGGACAAGACAACTCCAAAATTAAAACATTTTCTTCCTGAGCCTCAATCCTTTATCCATCTTCTTTATACAGACACACTTGATTGCCCTGCTCTTCACTTTATTATGCTCAGCAGACACTGCATATTTAACAAAGTAAAGGTCTGTGGCAATCCTGTATCAAGCAAGTCTATCAATGCCATTTTTCCAACAGTAAGTGCTCACTTTGTGTCTCTGTGTCACATTCCGGTAGTTCTCACAGTGTTGCAAACGTTTTCATAATGCTATTGCACACTTAGTAGACTATGCATCAAGATAAAACCTACTGCCATCAAGTTGATTCCAACTCATAGCAAACCTATCGACGGTTTCTGAGGCTGTAAATCTTTATGGGAGAAGAAAGTCTCTCTTCATGAAGTAACTGGTGAGTTTGAACTGCTGATCTCTCAGTCCAGAGCTTACTCTATAGCGCCACCTGGGCTCATTATATAAAGACCACAGCAGTGGAAAACAATGTGGGAGGTTTTTTGTTGGATATGAAATGTTTGACAAATTCAACTTTTTGTCACATGTGCACACACACAAAATATAGGTGAATACAACAATTAAACCTAATTTTTATAGATAGCCATTACCTTTCTTTAAATTATTTCAATGCCAGTGTGTGTTCTACAAAGAGAATGGTTTCATAGATTAATTGATCTAAAAATGTCAACCTTTGCAAGTCTGTCCTTTTAACTTTTTGTCTCCAGGCCCACAGTCATCAAATCAATTCTGAGACATACCAACCCTAAAGGACTGGGAAGAACTGCCCCCACAGAGTTTCCAAGTCTGTAATCTCCACGAAGTATACTGTGGACCTTTCAGATAGCAGTAGAAAATGTATAAACACTGCATTATCAATGGGTCTAAATAACTACAGTATAGTGCAAACATAACTTTTATATTCACTGGAAAATAAAAAAATTCAGGTGGCTCACTTTATTGCAGTATCTACCTTTTAAAGCATCATCGAGGTATGCCTGTATAATCAATCAAGCTTGCAATTAAGGCCTTAGGAAAGCTAACTGGTTCTTGGAAAAAGTGACCGGGATGTGGTTCTTGGCTGTCTGCTGTAGCCCAGCAGCCTGGAGAAAAAGCCACAGAAGGTCTAAGGTGTCACAGGAGCAGACTCCTCTAGCTATACAAACTGATCCTGCCCAAGTTTAAAACAACAGTTCAGTCAAAGTTCAATTTGATTTCTAAGAAGCTATATAATAAAACATTCCTTTTTAATCAAAATTAAAATCTCCTAAAGCCATGGTAATTTCTTTTTCCTTTCAGGGTCCAAGGTAGGAAGTGCCAGGTTACAAACAAGCCCATCTGAGAGAAATGAAGGGTCCCGTTAAGGTACCCAAGGAAAGTGACCAAGAAATAGCTACCTGATTATTGGGAAATTCATGAACAAAATTCATGTTATTGGATACAAAGCTGTACCCACTTGACTGAAGATATACGATACCTTCTTTGATTAATGCTTTCTGTATTTGTAAATAAGCCATGTAACAAATTCACTATATATGTATATACTGAATTCATCAGTCAAGTGGGTACAGCTTTGTATCCAATAACATGAATTTTGTTCATGAATTTCCCAATAATCAGGTAGCCATGACATACTTGTGAAAATGGGAGATAAGGTGTTAAAACTGCAGAAACTGGAAAAGACTCACACTAATTCATGGTTTCTTTTGAATTACTTACAGTTGAAAAACAAAGCTTTAAAACCAGGAGAAGGATGTTGCATTTTAAGAACCAACCCTACTGGTTCCTGTTTTAGCCAGTTGTTTGGAAGTTGGTTTAAATGTAGAGCTGAAACAAGGGCATGAGGAAGGCTGTAGTTAAAGGAACTCTGTTCTTAGAAACAAGAACAAAAAAATGTAATGAATTGGGTTAAGCTTGCAAAACATACAAGCTATTTTAAGTTACGTTTAAAGAAGTAAAAAATAGTCCTCTTGTTTTGGATTCAGAAAATCTGGCTTCCATTCCAATCTCTACTTAACTACTGTTTGAGTACTTAAGACATCTAAGTATCCTTCATTTGGGCCACATTCCTTCCTTCATCCATAAGAGAAGACAATACGATGACACAAACCCCTTCTATACCTAAATTTCAACTGTCTAGAAATGGCAACTCTCAGTTCATATAAGAGCACAAAAAGCCTTGTATACCAAATTCATTTTCACAATGGCTTTAACAGAAACCATTATTTTTCTTCATAGTTCATTTATATAAATAAGCTATTTTTTTTAATGTTTCCTGCTTTTTCCCCTGCTCCACCCCACCCCTTTCACAGAGATTCACACACAAACACACATATACATTCACAAGTAATTAAACATTAAAAGTAAAATGTAACACCTAATGATCAGTCATAAAAGACTCAGAAACCATTGTTGTTGTTGTTGTCAGGTGCCATCGAGTCGGAACCGACTCATAGCGACCCCATGCACAGCAGAACGAAACAATGCTCGATCCTGGGACAACCTCACCACCGCTGCCACCCCCGAGTCCATCAATGATGCC